GGGCAGGAGGCCCACACCGGGGGGTGGCTTGGGCAGAGGGTTGATGCCCTGCTTCTTTAGTTCTTCAACTTCCTTTTCATCCTCAGCACCTGCTTCTGCATCATCAGCCAACATCTGAGGGTTGAAGGATGAAAGGGGGTGACAGTCAGGACAGGACAGGAGTCGGGTTGCAGGGACCTGTCCAGTGTTGCAAGCTAGGTCTACTGAGAAAAACTCTGAACCACAAGGACCCTGAGTGGAGCTCTTACAGCAGTAGGCCAATGACCATGAAGCCTCTTTGGCACAAAAACCATCCCCCCTCACCACTGCTGTACCCCCTCTTCACAAGCGGGTAGGGGGAGCCACTCCTATCCTGCAGCAAAGTACATGTAACATGGAACATACGATTTCACCATTTTAAAGCGTACAATTCAGTGGCATTTAAATACATTCATGAAGTTACCCAAGCACCACCTCTGTCTAGTTCTAGAACTTTTCATCGCCCAAAAGTAGCCCCTTACCCATAAGCAGTCACTCCCCATTCCTCCTCCCTCCAACCCCGGGCAACCACTAATCTGCTTTCTATCTCTAGAGTCCCCGATTCTGGACATTTCACAGAAATGGAATCATACAACATGGGGTCTTTTGTGTCTGGCTTCTTTCACTCGGCATGACATTTTCAAAGTTCATCCATGTTGTAACGTGTGTCCTATTATGGTTGGCTAATATGCCACTGTCCTGTTTGGATTTTAAGGGCCTCTCAATGCACTTGCCATCAAACCCCAACACCTTACCATGACCCACGGGGCTTGGTGGCAGGGCTGGGTGCTGGGGAGGCAGCTTCATTTCCTTCCATGGTGCCCTAGACTCAACCCTAAGCCCCTAGCCCTGTTCCAGTCTGCGACAGCCAAGCCTGGACCAGGCTTCTCCCCAGGCATTTGCTTTTCCCTCTGTTCCTAACTGTGTGGCTCCATGTCCTCCATGGAGGGTCTCTCATTAAATCTCAACAGGGTGAATGTCCTGGTCCTTGCATTCACTACTGGAATACCATTAGCTCCCTTCAAAGCACTGCCCGGAATACCATTAGCTCCCTTCAAAGCACTGCCCGAGCTTTGTAAGATTACATGTTTTATTGTATCCTTGTTTATTCCTGGCTCACCCAAAGACTATCAACTCCATGATGGCAGAACTGTTCTATATTCTGAGGTACCCTCAGGGCCCAGCACAGGGCCTAATATGGGGTAGACAAACAATTTCAATGTCTGGATTTGAGCAGAATGTCTCACCAGTTAGGATCCTGTGCAGAAAAAAGATAGCAGGCCTGACTGCCGTCCCTGGAAGGCCTTGCAAAGTTAGCCTTTGGCTGGTGTCTGGGTACCTGAATTTCAAGAGGGTTTCCAGCATTCCTTGACTGGTAAGAGGGGCTCCCTGTGCTTAATATCTATAAACAATGTGCTTTCTGCTAAACAACCCCCCTTCCTTCTGGGAGTCTGGAATTTTGGCACATGCCAGGCAGAGACCACCTACATGACCAGAATGCCCCATTCATTCCCTGCGTAAGAGGCAACACAGCTTGGACCCCAGGCCCAGCCCTGGTGGACCAGCTGCAACCTCATCTGGTGAGAAGGAAGTGGCTGACCCAATGCCTTTGGCAGGGTTAGTCTAGGCCCGTCCTGAAGGCACATTTCAAGTTTTACTTTCTGACCACACAAATTTGATTCTGGGACGGTTTTTCTAGGTTCTACACTCCTTTTTAACCCAGAGACTTGACCTTATTCAGGCGACACCAATGCTTTCAAATTGTTTGTGGGCAGAAACTGAAAGGGGCCACCTTGTTTGCTTTGGGTTTTTATTAGGGCGTCTAGAGGTGTGCTGTCCAATATGGTGGTCACAGGCCTTGTGTGACTATTGAGTGTTTGAAAAGAGGCCTTAAGTACCGGACTCTAAAGACATAGTAGCCCCCAACAATCTTACTTGCTTCACCATCATTTATTACTTGCTAAAATGGTATTTTGAATATCAACACATTGAACTAAGATATTATAAAAATTAAATTCATTTGTTTCTTTTTACTTTTTTAATGTGGCTACTAGAATATTTAAAATTAAATATGTGGTAGCCTGACTTACAAGACCAGCCAGTTTATAGTCGCTCTTGATATTTCTCTGCCCACATCATATAAATTGTGCAATTATCAGTAAAACCTTTGTATTAAACTGTGCTGCAGTACTTGCAGGTTATAGTAAAAAAGAAGAAAAATAAACATGGCTCCAACATGTTTCCTACTGGACAGCACTGGTCTAGAATGCAAACTCTGAACCTCCAGCAGGGGGCAGTCCTCAGTCAGATATTGTTCTGTTCTTCAAATGAGGCAAGAAGTCACCATGACTTTTCCCACTACTTACCCCGTGGAAAAACTCACTGACTCTAAATATCGACTGATTACAAAACCCTAGTCCTAGATTAGGCTCCACAAAGGACCTGGCCAAATAAGAACTCTGTTCAACTTTTCCCATTCCCCTGCCAATGAGGAGCGGGCGTTCTCTCACTTTGCCTGTGCAGGGCTTCCCCTCAACCCCTCAGGCAGTGCCGGCAGCCATTTAAACTGGGCAGTCACCCAGGAATGGATTCCTCAAACTGGCTGATGAACTCAATCCTTTCCATTCTTAAAAAAATAGTCAACTCCTCAAACCCTTTGTGAACTAGGATGTAGAAAAGCCTTCATTTGAAAGGACACATTCTCTCATCCATTCCCCTGGATGTATTAGGAAACCAAGGACAGGACCTTGGGGCTCCCCAAGTCCTAATGACTTCTCAGAGACAAGACTGACACTAGTATGAGTTTCAAATGTCACCTGACGAGTCAGAAAGCCTTGACACCTCACCCGAGGGAAAAAGTCTCCAACAAGACCAAACCTCCAATTTCCCTGTATGTACTTTTTTTACTGCTTAATAGAATCCTTAAAACTTGTAAAGAAACATTTGACATTTCCATCAAAATATAACCCAACCCAAGTCTTCTCTCCTCTTTGTGTACCATGGGCTCTTTCCAAAGGACACCTAAAAAATCACAAGGTATGTTTGGAGACACAAGGCAAACACTCCTTATATGCAGCCACCCCAGTGAAAACTGCCCTGGCTGGAGATAAGATGCAAGTGCGACCATCTCAATTCTCCCTGCAGGTAAGAACACAGTTCCCATTTCTTCCTAAAAGTGGCCCAGCTCCAGATCAATGCAACTGGGAACTCTGGTCATGCGGACTGCACAGCCAAGTCAACGGAAGGCACACCTCCTGGTTCCCATCAGTGTGGCAATGGGACCCCCCCCCACCAGACATTACCTTATCCAAGAGTTCTCTTGTCTCCTCGGTCAGAGGGTCGTGGGAGAACATGCAGTCGTCACCATTGATGCAGTTCCCAGTTGTGTGGTATAACTTACACGGAAAATCACGTTCATGGCAAATTAAGGGAAAAGCTTCCACTGATGGAACCCACCCGAGGGCAAAATCCAACCCCGTGTTTGGAGATGAGGAAACTGAAGCCCAGAGGGGTGAAGTGACCTGCTCAGGGATGCACAGTACACTGGCAGCAGACCCAAGATGAGACCCTAGTTCTCAAGACTCCTGCTCCAGAGTGTTTCCCACCCACCACATTGGCCATGGGGCTGTGTCCTTGAATCCGCACTCAACAGGAATAAGGAAGTTCAATGATGTGCCCAAGGTTACACAACCAGTTGGAAAAGTCTCAGAAAGATAACAGGCAATGGCATAGGCCAGTCTCAAAGAATATATGTAAAGAGAATATTTAACATGTGTGCCTCCATTTACTCATCCACAGAATGGGAACAGCAGGCCTGTCACAGGACAGATGTGAAGGTTAAATGAGATACAGATGCCCAGAAAACTCTTGATACAGCACTGGCAGGGAGAAAGCAAGTGCAGTGGAGGTAAGCTGTTACTACCAACAAGGAGAGAGGTTCTGCCACTCAATCACATCAGATGTGGCGCCAAAGGATATCATGCATGTAGGGGCAGTTCTCAGCTCTGGCACAAAATCCGGTGATGTAAAACTTGCACAGTTCTCGCTTCTTTGGTAGCTCAATGTCATGGCTAAAATTACAGTGGTCTCCCTGGAAGAGAAGCAATGGAAAGGTCAGGTGGGGGTAGGGGAAGCCCTTGCTTCTTTCTGCAAGGGAAGCGCTACTCTGTCACCGCTGAAGAACAGAGGGGTCAACAACAGAACGAATCCTCCCTTGTGAGGGAAAGGGCAGGTTTCTCACCAACTTCATACTTCTGACCATGTGTGCGCTCCCCTCTCGGGCCCCTGCCTCCCTCCTCATGCCCCCATTCCTCCTGTCTCTATTCCTTGCCTTTCACTGCCTCCTCCTAACTCTTCCTTCTCTTCTCTTTTCTCTTACCTACTATTTTTCACCATTTGCTGCATGACATCCAGCCCCATGCTTCTTCCTAACAGAACCCCAGTTTTGTCTGGGGGAGAATGTGCCCAGCTAAAAATATTCCATTTCCCAGCTTCCCTTAAAGTCCCAGCAATCGGTATAGGCAGAAGTCTCCAAGGAGGACAACACTGCTTCAATTTTTTAAAAATCCCACCACCTATTTTTCTTCCCCTTAGCCCTAAAATGTGATGCCTGGAGGAACAGCAGCCATTGTGCAACCATGAGGACAAAAACCACATGCTTAAGAATGGCAGAATAAAACCTAGGAAGGAGCTTGGGTCCCCCAGTGTGCCACTGACCACTGCTCCAACTCAGTATTGTCTACCCACCCTATACTCTGTTCCGAGGGATAAACATCTGTGTGTCTAAGCTAGCAAAGTTGCATTTTCATTATTTGCAGTTGGACATAATCCAACCACCACCAGGTGAAAGAAAGAAATTACTGTATAATATGAATTGACTATAGTAAGGAGTATTTTACATACATATGCACACTTGTTTAAAATACCTATTTTTCTAAGACATATACAAAGTGCAGCATTCCCTGGGTGCATGCTTCCTACTATCTGTCCACTGCCGCTACATGGGAATACAGAGCTGGCTGATTGAACTAACACTGTGCTACTGTTCCCGTCAGGATTCTGTGGCCACTGGTCCACCTTGTAGCATTCACAATTCTGTTGTGAAGTTCAAGGCTTGCCTGGTTCCCACTCCTCCTTTTCTATGGATGTCTTAATAATTCCCTCTCCAATATTAAAGTTCAATAACCAATCAGAATGTTACATCTTTGCATTAGCATCAATCCTAATATGACATTTGATGCCATATGGATTTGAAAACTTTGGCCACAAAAATCTTCCTCAAACCAGGAAAACGCAGATGTGTCATCTTGCTCTGGCCCCTTAGTCCCTCTGAGAAAAGAACTGAGTCTTCCAGGCCCCACAGACACCTCTTGGCAGTTAATCACTGCCCCCCAACCCAAACATTGCCCCCTGAGTGTGGCCTCTGGAATATTCCCAGGGGCCTGCGTGTCCTCTGGGAGGTTGCTGCCCTGCTCCAGGCACCCAGGTCCTTTGGCCCCTTACCCACGTGCACCGCCCCTCCACGAAGTATTTGCAGATGACTTTGCCTTTCTTGTCGGACTGCTGGTGGGGCTTGTCATGGTCGCTCCTCCGGTAGCTTCCACCTCCATCCTGTTAGGGACAGAGTGTGAATGTAATGGGGAATGAAAAGGGAGGGCAGTGAAGGCCCTGGTGGTGCAGGTGGAGATGGTCTCTGAGTGAAGACGAGTGACAGGAGTTGGCTGGCAGAGGTGACAGAAGTGTCCTCATGTCAGTGACCAGCCAGTTACATCTGACACTGAGGCCAGGAGGGGTCTGAGCCCCACGGCATGGAGTGCTGCTCGGACAAGAAAAGCTCTGGCTGGAGCTGTTGGCAACAAAAACTCGAGCACACACACCTGTGCAGAAAAAACATCCACCTCCCAGAGGCAGAGGCAGCCCTTCCTATAAACTGTCCAGGGATAACTGGGTGGGTCACCTAGAACCTTCCGAATCTTAGAGACTCATTATGAGTGACTGCAGGTGCTACACAGACGTGGTTTTAAGAATAGAGGGTCTCACCAGCAGTGCATCCCTCGCGAGAGATAATTAGTGCTTATTGGCCCTATGGGGAACGGCTGCTGGGAGCAAGGGCCAAGTTCAGCCTCAAAGAACTCATTAAAGGGGAGAAAAAAACCCAAGGAGGGGCCTTGGCTAAACGTATCAGATCAGAATGAAGAGTCGACTCACGCCCATGTCATCATCATAGAAGTCTTCGTCATCGTTCATTCCACCCTTGTTCATTCCTCCTCGGCTACCACCTCGACCACGGCCCCGGCCCATCCCTTTGCCTCGACCACGGGAACCCCGGCCACGGCCCCGATTTAACCCTGCAGAGAGAAATGGTGTCAACTGCTGCCTCTCCCCAGAACCCAACTCCAACAGCTGCCAGGAGCCCCACCGACTAGCCATCTCCGGGGGCCCCTGCCCACCTCGTCCTCGGCCATCCTTGGACCGGCGGTACTGGTTCAGCTCCTTAGAATAGTCGTCATAATCGTCATCTCCCATTGGTTCCTCACACTCTCCATACTGGAATTTCAAAAAGAAGGTTCACACAGGGAACAATGAACACAGTCCCTAACTATACATTCTGCCCCCTTTGCCTTTTTGTTTCAAGGACAACTTGAGACTCAGAAAAGCAGGTGAGAAATCTGGGCCTGTGCCCCTCCTCACACGCCCCAGCCTGAGTGGTGGATGGTCCTAATCCTTTCCCTGCAGTCATCAGTCTTCAAACTCCCACCTCCTGGGCAAATCCATTAGGGCACCTCTGTACACAAGGGACAGCTGTGCGGCTGTAACAAAGAACGCACAAAAAGATCTTGGCAGGGACAGAATAGTGAGTGGTAGCTGTCCTCTGCAAGAAAGGGGTATGTGTATGGTGGTGGGGGGGGGGTGCATGCACATGCACACACGCAAAGAGCAGTGAATAAATAGCACCCATGACCGCAAAGGCCTAAAACATTTTCAGAGCAAATTCAGGAACCTTGTCTGCAGGGACAGGAGCTAAGTCACTGGGACAATGGGAGGAAGAGGTAATTTTCACAGCTCACCCTCTGGTATCTTTTCAGTTTGAACCATATGAAGGTTTTGTGACTTCCAAAAATCACATATGAACATTTAAAACACGTAAACCTGCCATCTGATGCTTTCGTTCCTCCTTAGTCTTACAAGCCACCCCCAACAGCACATACAGCCCACCAGCCACTCCCCTACCCCTGAGCGGTAGAAAACCTTACATCCATCTCATCCTCATAAAAGTCATCTTCGTCCTCTGGGTGGTCTCCCATGGAGCCTCTGCCCCTGCCTCGGCTGCCCCGGCCCATGCCTCGGCCTCGAGACCCTCCGCGGCTTCCTCGGCCCCGGTAGCCCCTGCCACGGCCTCGGCTGCCTGCACGGTGATTCAGAAAGTGAGTGCCTGAGGGGGAGCAGACCCCACCAACAAGAGAGATGTTAACCCATTGTTTGCCCCTGAAATCAGTCATTTCCTCAAACTCCTCCAAGAAGCCTTCCCAACTCCCCAGGCAGACTAACGGTTCCCCTGGTCCCCTTGATGGCTGTGCCTCAGCATTGTGGCACATGACTGCTACAGCACTCACTACAATGAAAGCCACACTGTCCAATATGGTAGCCACCAACCACATGTGGCTACTAAGCACCAGAAATGTGGCTGACCAAACTAAGAGATGCTTTGAGTATAAAGAACATCTAGACTTTAAAAACTTATTTAAAAAAAAAAAAAAGAGGGAATATAAAACACCATATCTGCCTATTTTGCTAATATGCTGAAATAAGATTTTGAATATATTAGGTGGATAAAACATATTGTTAAAGTTAATTTCATCTGTTTGCTTTTATTTTCTAACGTGACTGCTAGGAAACTGTAAGTCAGATGATGGCTTGCATTCTGCTTCCACTGGACAGTGTTGGCCTAGAATCTCCCCAAAGAGCAGGACCTGTCCAGGGAGATGTCCATGAAAGACGGCTGCAAGAAAGAAGGGATGAAAGGCCACTCAAACAAGCTGGGCCTTAGGCGAGGCTAAGCACCGCCAAGCTGGAAGGTTCTGGAAACCCCTTGAAGTGGGAAATCTCACTGGCAGAAGATGATTCTAGGAGGCCAGGCTGGGTCTCAGTGTACTGCCCTCCCCCACCATCCTCCTAACTGCCACAGTTCAAGGTTCAGAGGTGTGGCAGGCCCACAGGCTGCAGTTACACCTGGTCAGGTGATATGAGCAGAGAGGATGGGGGAGGGAGCCACTGAGGGTTAGGGCAGCCAGCTGTCAGTCACCCTGACCCAGATGTGAGAAGCTGTCCCTTTTCTTTCTCCTCACACCTGACCAGGAAGTGAATTCTTCCTTTCCCTGCCTCATAACAGCCTGGCTCCATCCCCAACCAGGTCTCAGCACTGGCCCCCCTTCCCATGTAGCTACTGCCCCGAACCTCTCCTCTACTCATCTCTAACGACAGCCTGTCTCCTCTCCTGGACAAGGCTCTGTGAGCACTGGGCCAACCAGGCCTGTCTCACTCTGCACCACCCCTCCAGCCCCCAACACCAGGTCTGCTCAGACTCCTGCCCTGGAGAAGTGCCAGGGTCTCACCTCGGCCCCGGCTGCTGCCCTCCTTGGCACGCCGATACTGGTTCAGCTCTTTGGCGAAGTCGTCGTAGTCCTCCTTGCCCATGTCCTCCTCCTCGTCGCCCTCATACTCCCCGTACTGCTCGTTCTCGTAGTCGTCATACATGCCATAGCCTTTGCTGTCCATCTTGGAGTAGGACTTCTTGGGCAGGGATGTGCTGTGCGATGGGGGGTACTGCTGGTGGGACTGACAGGGAAAGGAAGGTGAGCAGGCCCCGAGGCCTTGGGCGCAGACCAAGATCCCCGCTGTCCCTGGAGAGACACACCAGCCCCCAGCCACTCTGGGGACTGGTTTCCACCTGAGTGAGATCTGGGTAGAAGGCCCAGATGTTTCTGTTCCTCAGAAAGGCCATAGCTTGAAAGAAAATTGAGAAGCACAGACCCCACAGTCCCTGAAGAACCAAGGAGAAAGGGGGGTATTTTCCAAGGTTATAGAGCAATCTCATCGGGGGGGGAATGGTAGACAAGGGGGGTGCTTCCTGTTCAAAATTTTCCTGGGGTCTTGGAATTCAATTAATGACCTGCTTGGCAACCAAACTAGAAAGCTATTTCAAATGATGCTTTCCAAAGTGTGCTAGTGCCAGGAGATATTAGATGAAGTTAAATATATATATATATATAAATGGAAGGCACCAAAATGTCCTCAGGCAGTGAATGGATAAACCAACTGTGGCACATCCAGACAATGGAGCATTTATTATTCAGCAATTAAAAGAAATGAGCTATGGAGCTATAAAAGACACAGAGCAACCATAAACACATCCTGCTAATTGAAAAAAGCTAATCTAAAAAGGCTACATACTGTATGAGCCCAGTAAAAAGACAGGGGGAAGGGAGGGTGAGTAAGTGAAGCAGAGGAGATTTTTAGGGAATTGAAACTATTTTATATGATAGCACATGGTGAATACATAACTTGATGCATTTGTCAAAACCCAAAGAACTGTAAAACCCTAATATAAAGGTATGGACTCTAATAATGTGTCAATGTGGCTCATCAATTACAACAAATGTACATTAATGCAAAATGTTAACAGGAAAAACGAGGTTAGGTGGGTAGGGAACTGTACTATCTGCTCAATTTTCTATAAACCTAGAACTGCTCTAAAAAAAATAAAGTCTATTATTTAAAATAATCCATTCATTATAAAAAAAAAAAAAAGAGAGAAAATACAAAACATAGGTAGACAAATACAACTACTTTAGAGGATCTTAAAATGCCTCAACACCCAGTTCCCAATTAAAGCTCCTGGCGTTCCCTCCCTTCCCTGCCTCCCTCAGGTTTAAAGTCTGAATCTATAGTGGTAGATCAATGTCAACTATGCCTTACAATAAATTATCTGTAATGATGGATGATGCTGAGTCACATGATACCTGGGACATCTTTAAGAGCTACTAGTTTTAAAAGCATTTTTTATCAATACTCAAAAATCCATGTTGATGTTTTTTCTTATCAGTTTTACTGGGGGGAAGATAGTATACAAACTGAATAATTTAACTTTATGTTTAAGGTCAGAGATATAATTTACTCCTGTAACCATTTCGGTCTCTTGCCAATTTTCCACAAAAGTAATTTCTGAACAGTGGAAAAGTCAGCTATGACAGGGAAAAATCAGCATCTTTCTTGGGGATAGGAGACACACTGCCAAGGCTACGGGAAGAAGTGGCATCGAGAAGTGCTAACATCATGGCTTATAGAGATCGACCACTAACTGGGTTGAAACCCCCCATTCCTGCACTTCAGAGCTGTGCAACCTGGTTGAAGTTTTCTGAGTCTGTTCCCTCACCTGTAAAAGGGTTATAAAGGCACCTCATCTTGTAGGATTAAAATCCGTGTCACATGCCATGCAAGAATGCCCAGCATTGGGCAAGGTGCTCAGTAAACACAGCAGTTTTACTCCATGGAGCCCCTGACCAGCAGTCACTCACCGGTGCGTACGGGGGGCTGTACTCTCTGTACTTGCGGTGCCCCTTCTCACTGGGGCTGAAATCAGAGTCATCAGAGAAGTCGGAGAAGTCATCGCTGGAGGACGCATGGCGCTGCAATGACAGAGGAAGTGGACTCAGTGATTCTGCTGCAGGCAGGCCACTCCGGTAGTCAGCCTGGGGGAATGTGCTGGAAGGGCTCTGTGCGCTCCATGAAATACCTCACCTAGGGGCATTTAGCAGCAATGGAGCATGAGCTACTAACTCTTTTAAAAAAGGTCTTGATCCAATTTGGGGACGGGAAAAACAACACTATTAAGAGTGCTCTTTGGCCTGACAAGATGAGCTCGGCCCCTCGGGCTCTCGGCCAGGTCCAGGTCCAGGTCCAGGCAACAGGCCCTGTGAACCCTCCAGACTTACCTTGTGTTTAGATTTCCTCCTCTTCTTCGATCTCCTCTTCTCTTTCTCCCGCTCTTTCTTCCGCTTCCGCTTCAGTCTCCTGTGAGACTTCTCCTCGTCTGAATCACTGTGGTGCTTCTCCCCCTTTTCTTTCCTGCTCCTCTCAGGCCCTCCGGAGGTGTCCTGGGTCTCCTCTGCCCCATCATCTTCCAGTTCACCTTCTTCCAACTCACCATCTTCCCTATAAACCGACCCCAAAGCCAACATGAACGTGGGTTTGAGAGGAGAGCTTGAGTGCTCTGGGCTGGCGAAGGCTGGCAGGAACGGACGATCTGAATGCTGTGGAGACCTGTACCCCCTGCCAGAGGCCTTGGATGGACAGGATATGAGGTCCACTGCCTTCCATCTCACCCCCGCCCTTCTCCCAAAAGGATTGCATCTGCTCCCAGCTACCCTGGCTAGGGGCTGGGGGAGGGGACAGGGACCGACACTGTTGGAGCAGTATTTCCCAAACTGTTCCCTAGGACTACACGCTGCTTCTCTCAGGGAACATGGACCAGCATCCCTCCCATGTGCAGTGGCCTGGGGTCACCACTTGGCCACAGATCTATGGATGTGCCCCATGAGCTGAGGGTGGTAGTTGTGCACAGTGGAGAGAAGGCCATGGTTCTGAACCAGGCCTGGATGGCCGCAGATTCCTGGGCCCTACCCACAAGCAGGCCTAAGAACACAAAAGCCCCGAAAGACACATTAGTGAATAGACTCTGGGGTCTGACCCACACCATCAGTTCCATGGCTCTGGGCTGGAGGCAGGGGGAACTGAGAGGCTAAAAGGGGTGAGGGAAAGGGTCCTAGGCTCCAGACGCCTCGCAAGGTCCTCACATGACAGCAGTCAGAGTGTCTGCAGAAGGGGTCAGCCACCACCTGCTGCTTACCCCCTTGTTTCCCAACTGACTTGCCTCACCTCTGGGTAACCCTTCTGGCCCCCCAGCCTAGATTTCCTATCTTTGTCAATTCCCCCAAATACCACCCCCACTCCACCCCAGTTCTTAAAAAATAGAAGTGCTCTTCTGACATGACAGATGCTGCCAATAGGACTCTAAATGTCTAAAGATCTGTGGGGTAGGTGGGGAAGGGATAAATAGGGTTAAGAAAGGAGCAGCTGGGAAAAGAACCAAGTTTTTGAGCCAAACCCATAGACAGTTCTCACAAGTACAGAAGCCGGTTTAAAAATAAATAAAAATTAAAAAAATTTAAAACGTTCCTAAGGGTCCTCATGCATGACATGGAAAAGTATGTGTGAGGGCATAAAAATTGCCTTATCAATGAACTATGACCCAAACCGAAGATAACATAGAGTAACGTAACGAACCCAGGACTCAAAGGCTAACGACAAAGGGAACTAATCTGGGCAGAAAAGGCCACTCAGAAGGGCCTGGGGTCACTGTGGGAACAAGCTCATGAGGCAAGCATCCCCGAGAGCCCCCAGCCCCATCACACATTGTGGGGAAATAACAAACTGACCACTTCTCTGGGGGCCCTTCACTGCCCTTTGTCTGCCTTGGTGCTGCTCCCTAAATGTCAAGACCTTCAAGAGTGGCCATGTAAACACTCATTAACTCTCATTCCCAATTCAGAGGGGTCAGATCAGCTTAAAATCCAAGTGGTCCAGCCCCATAGATACCCCAGCAGAGGTCAAGGGCAGCTCTTAAACATAGAATGCAGGACACAAAACTCTGATGTTTCAAAGGAAATAATACAGAGAGATGACGGATATGTGTCTCGTGTTGTTTCCTTGTAAAGGGCCTGGTCGTCCTGGGCTGGCCCTATAGGAAGACGCCCAGTAAGCTTTGGAGAAGGCAGCATTCCTGACAAGTGAGGCACCTTCCGGCTCGGGTGTGGTCCACAAAACGAGGGGGGGCAAAGCTCTCATGGGACAAAGGCAATTCTGCTGGAATGGCCTCACCCACAGAAGTGCCACCGGACTGGGGGAACTGGTTTTGGCGAGCTCAAGCTCGTCAACCCAAGGGAGAAGCTGTTATTCAATGGCATGGCAAGTTCCTGCTGCCTGGAGTTGTGGAAGACACTGGGAGAGTGGTTACTGGATACAAGATGTGTGCTTCTGAGAACACTGGGTCAGGCTGGGTGGCCACACCTCAGGGGAAATACATGGAGACAGAGACACTAGACAGACAGACACAATGGAGCTGGGGAAGGCCCAGAGACAGATCAGAGACATAAAGACTGGTATCCATTAAGAAAAGCTATAAAGAGCGTCACTCGCGACACTTTAGTCTAGAGAGGAAAAAGCTGACATGGGCATAAAGTACCCAGAACCCCACGACAGGGATAGAGGGAGCATAGTCCAACAGGAACTGCCCAGGCTCCCAGAAGTCTGATAAAAGACATTCGATTGACCACTGAGCATTCTCAGTGCCATCTGGCCACACCATGCTCTCAAACTCCTCAGAGCCCTGGGCTAACCTCTGGTCACCTGAGGGGGTGCCCTCTGCTAACAAAAGGGAGTCCCAGCTAACTGTCCTACATGAATACAAGGTCTATTTCCTTCAGACTCTATTCAACAGAAAGAAAATCAAACCAACTGGGACAGGGGGTAGAAACCCTAAGGGCCATGGACACAAGTGCACAAAGGCAGTCTCCACAAAACAGCAACCAGGTTTAAGTGTTGCCACTTCACAGGCGGCCAGCAAAATCCATGTCAGAGAGGGATTAAATACCGAGGGAGCACGCTTAATAGACTGTGACATAATCCCCCAAGAAAAGTGGGGGAAGCCCCACTGCGCTAATCATTTCAATCAAGACCTGCCAAGCCCTCTTGAGACCAGCATGCAGGAGGGATCCTGAAGCAGGGGCCTGGGCAGAGGCCACCTTATTCCCAGAGCAATGCCCCAGGATGGCTGCAGCAGGGCCGGCCTTCCAGAGCCTTCAGGGACAGGAAACCAACCATGCTGGGAGACAGACTTGGAACAGGCGCCTGGGAGGAACTGGGAAGAGGCCAATGCTTTGCCTAGAGTCAGATCTGCCTTTTGCCTCCTGGACTAAGCTTCCGGGGCATTTAAGTTTCCATTCCAAGAACTGGTAACAACCACCTCTTCCTCTCAGGTCAAAGAACAGATCTGGATGCCCCTTCAGCCAACTCCACAGGACAAAGAAGCATGTTGGGTTCATCATATACCATGGGCTTGGCAAAAACAGTACTTTTACCAAGTTTCAAAGTAGGCTGGCCCCACCCACCAAGCCTACAGATTTGGGCATCTGGCTTTTTTCTGCAGGCCAACTAACTGAACTAGCTCTTCCTCTTCCCTAGAGTATGCTCTGGGTACACATAACCTTAGCCTCAGGTTTCTCATCTGTAGAATGGATAACTACAGTCCCCACCTCAAGAGGTTGTGAGGGTTAAAGGATGGGGGCAGGTGCTAAGTAAGTACCAGAAATAGTAGCTACTGGTTTTAAGAACCAGGTAGCATGAGTGAACCTCTGCATAAATAACCTTACATTACTGGCTGAATGTGCACTGGGAAGTATTTCTCTAAGAAGAAAATACAGCCAACTTCCCTTTGGGACCACTGCTAACTGCTGACCAACAAGGTCCCACTTCTCTTGATCCAGCTGTGCACCATCCTCTCCCAACAAATCCTAATGAAACCAACAAATGGACATCTCCCCTTTCTCAGCTCTAATCGAGGTGGTACCAGAGAGTAACCAAGTGGCTAACTAGGAGGGAGAGTTGAGCCCCAGGGAGAAAGGACAAAGGTGCCTTACAGAAAACAAAGCTCGGCAACATGGAAATTCTCTAGACAAGAGAGTTGGATGGAAGTTGAAAGGGGCCTGGATTTGTGGATCCATCTTGTTTACCAGAAAGGGAGGGGAGGGAGGAGAGAAAGGGGGAGGGG